ATTATTCTAAAGCCTTAAAATGTCTCAAGAGGTAATTGAGCAATTTGAATGTGTCCATGGCGATATGATCTTAATGTCGATTACGTGAAGGAGGTGAAGAAAAAGAATCAACAAATTTAAGATAAAAGTATATACACTTATATTACTTTTTTAAATATTTATCATTAAATTTATAGTCTTTATACTCATTTTTCTGCAGCCTTTATTAATCAACTACTGAATCTGAATTTCCCCATAAAAGTTATTGAATTAAATGCCATAGAAAGAATACAAATTGCATAATTGACAGCTTTTCCTTAAGTCCACAATGTGCACCCGCCCACAGCCATTATTACCCAGGGAAACTTTATGACTCTGTTGTCAAAATGTTTATCTAACACTTGAGAAGCATTGTCCATAAAATGATAGAAAAAAAAACGCATTAAGAGAGCAAATAAACTTTTATTGAGATAGAATTCTCGTTACTAAAACAGATGTGCCCCAGCTTTGTCCCCCCTTTCTAAGCCCCTGGAACCCCCTCTGCGGATGGGTCAATGCTCACAATGAACAAACAGCCAACGAACGATCATAACGAGGTTGAGGGGCTTGAAGAAAGGGATATATATATAAATATATAGGGATAGTAAGCTGAATCGACATCAGCAGCTCGACAATTGTTTTATAATTATTATTTCATGAACAAAGAGAAAAGCAAAATGCGAAAGAAAGACGTTAAAAAAGATAACACTGTAGTGATTCAGAATATACCCAGCAAAGTATTTCTTTGGGAATATATTTCTTTTTTCAGAAAGTTTTTTATAAACCTTAAAAAAGGTAACACTGTTTTGATACAGAATGTTCCCAGAAAAACATTTCTTTCAGAAAATCTAAATTTTGTTAAGTACCTGCTATCTTATAGATTTGAAATAAATATTTCTCAATTTAAAAGTACCTAGTACCTTTGTTATGTTATAAAAAATATGAATATTATTATATTAACGGACCTACAATACCTAAAATAATTCAATGGCAAGTAATGAAAATGCAGTTGTCTCAAAAACAGACTATGGTGAAAAATGTAAGAATGAGATTTGACATTATTCTACTTCTAAATTGTTTCCCTTTAGGGTTTTCCAACATGCCCTGCAATTGGCCACTGAGTAGCGGGTAGCATAAAAGGAAAATTGCTTAATTTATGTGTCATTTATCTAAATGGAGCAGCCGAGCAAAAGCAATGAAAGCAAAGAGCCCAATGACGCCTGCTCCGTCCGTCCCCTATATTATTTTTATAAAGCTCCGCGATAAGCAACTGTCAGTCGGTGCAACGGGGTCCAAAGGGGGCCAAAGGGGCCACAGGGGCTGTGGTGCCAGAGTAATTAAAAATCTTCAACTCTCGTTGTTTTTGCTGTCTTTGGCTGGCGACAATAATCGCCGGCAGTGAGTGAAAAAGAGACACACAAAGGGGCCCAGAGGGACGGGCCGAAGAACATGCGATTAAAATTTTAAATGACAGTTGACAGTTTCATCATCAGCATGTGTACAAGGGTTTTACATAGATATGAGGCAGAGATAGTGCCCCACAAAAGCACAGGGGTTCCAGGGGGTTCCCCGTCGACAGGAACTGCCGAGCAGGTGAAATGTCATATGAGATTGACTTCACAGCGGAAACTAAAAAGCTGAAAGAGGGCAGCTGATGGGAATATGCACAGGGTCCTTATAATTTGAAACCTATCGCAGTTCTCTGTTATCGCAGTTGTACTATTAAGACTTAAGCTTAAATGGCATTGCTGATAAGGTATAACGGTATTAATTAATTAATAATTGGATTTAGATACAGGTGCTTTAAATCCTTCCTGAAAATAATTGACAAATTTAAAAAATATTACGCTTAAGATCTGAAACGAATTTTTTGATTAATAATCAATCATCATGGGCAAACCTTTTATCTCTCTATATTTCTAGCTAAGTTGAAATTGCTTTATTTGTACTTATATTCTTTCTTCATCAACATTTACTTAACAGTCCCCAGAATTTGTTAAATTCCGAAGTAAACTCACCAAAGCAAATACTAAAAATGTGTGGAATTGTCACCTATACAAGAAAATCAAGCGACAAAGAGTCACTCTCTGATTGAAAGCAATCCCCCTCCTTTCCCAAACCCCTTGCTTAACCCACTACTGACCTGGAGTAAAAGAAGAGGAAAAAAATATTTAAAAATATATATTTCTACAGTAAATTCTTTTACAAAATTCCTTAACTTAACCTTTTAGTTAAATAGGGAATTTCTTGTAACCCCTCTTTTGAGATTTTCTTAAAGTACTAAAGGGGTTAACCTTTTCTTTGAACAAAGCTGGGGGTTTGTTTCGTTTGTCTGAGCAACTTTGAGTTAGTGCCTGCATTCCTTTATTTGCCCAGCAGATTAACACCTTTGCGATTGGACAATGGGCCCGATTCCAAATGGTATTACCAAGCAGAACAAAGGAAACAAATGCAGCTTCTTCTTCATAATCAAATGCAATGTGGCATTGGCTAAAAATGGAATTCTGCTGTCTGCACTTCATCAAGAGAGGGAAATGGTGGCGAAGGAGCCGGGGCCCTGACTGACTGGCTGACAGCTGAAAAAGTCACCTCACTCCCCGTCATTTCCCTCGAGGAACTCGTTTCTCTCAGTGCAACATGCATTCCTCATGCCATACAAAACAATTGACATGCATTGTTGCTGCTGCTGCTGATGTTGCTGTTGCTGTTACTGCTGGGATGTTGCTGCTGTGCTGTGGCTGATGTTGCTGCTGCATCTCTCAGTTCCTGGCAGCCTCTCAACTGCAGAACCTCAGAAATTGTCACAGCAACTTGTGCCGCTTGCAATTTTCCAAAATGAAGCTGAAATAAGTGAAAAAATACAAAACTGGTTTTCAACGATGCAGAGAGAAAAAATCTTTGTTATTAGAACATGTTATCATATGAATAAACACTTAATTAAAGGAGTAATGTTTTCATAACTATTCTAATGCAAATACCAAGCATATTATTAGTTTTCATCTCTAAAAGTACCATATTAAGTACCGAGTTCGGTATAATTTTCTCACTGTGTGACTTTCAGCAATAAGGACACGAATAGAACTGGTTCTCTGCACAGGCCCTGCTCTTCATTTATCAATACTCGATCGGGGACCGAAAGTCCGGTTTCCCTGGTTAGTGCATTTCATTTGATTTCGTTTCATTCGGATCGCAAACCATTCTCAGGCTCAGATATAAATTAAGATCCATATCGGAAGGGAAACTGGAACTGCGATTGAGTTGGTGGAAAACGAAAGAGGCCAACGGCAGGTGGCATTCTGTAGCGGGGTCCGATTCGGGATTTAGATCCCGAGTCATATCCAGACCAAGAATTGTGATTTATATTCAATAGCTGTGTACGTGGGTATAGCTCGTTTCTTTTATACGCCTAAAATTTTCAGTTGGAAAAAAAGAATTCTTCTCTGTGAATTCTTTTCCTTGGAGGATGTTGCAGACTGCCTGCTGTTATTTATTGTATTCGTTTATCGGCGTTTTCCCGGTTCTTTACTTGCTTAATTTGCCCAAGTCCAGTCTTCAGTCTCCCTTTCTCTTTCTTTCCAGCGATTTCCTCTCTTTCTAGCAAGTACGGGCTCATGGTTTGTCAGCATGACATGACTTTTATGGTATAAAGTTATATTTCAAGCTTCCACTCGTAGATCACTTCAAAGGCTGGCGATTTGTAAAGGCGCCATCTGGCGTTGAGAATGCGAATTCAATAGCTATAAATGTCAGTCCATCGGTGGGTTAAGGATTTATGTTATAGGCGGGTCCATTAAATCGGGATTATAATGTTCGGGGCTTGGAAAACGATTCCTTCTAACGGAAAATAAACATTAAAGAAAATAAACAAATTTCAATAAATTTTAAAGTCTTAACGATGCAAACAAATATAAAGTTTGTCTTAGTTTTATCAAAAAATAACTAAAACTTTTCTGTCATTAAAGATACTAAAATTCAACTATTTATTTTGCATATATCCTTCTCTCTTAAAAAACTTATAAAAATCTTATTGAGATACGTACGTGCAAGTCTCAAACTAATAAAAAAACTAAAACAAAAGTGAAATGAATCGCATTAATTGAAAGTATTTGCAACCCAACGAAGCGTGGAAAATTTCCCTGGGGCAGCAGCTTGGAAAATCGCGACAAGTTTCCACAGAAAAAAACCGAAATTAACATGTCACCTATAAGGAAAAGAAAAAAGGCGAAAAGGCAGAAGCTTCAACGAGGGGCTAATCGATAATTTATGAGCGGAAATATGGCACACCGAATGAATGATGGGTATATTATGAGGAGTATGGGTGATATGGAGTTGGGGGCCGCGGCAGGTGTGAGCTGGGTATATTGTAACATGTTTATAAATAACGCTAATGAACGGGGGATATCGGGAGTAGAGGGTGGTGGAGTTGGTCGAGCAGCCTAACCGCTCGTAAAATGTTTAAACAAGCGGCGCATTGACTTTGAACTAAAATGGTGGGAAGGGGTGACCATAGACGCTGCCGTTTGGGGTTATCGTTGGGTAAATATTTACCCCGAAAGAGGTACATGAAATGGTAAAATTAAACATTGTTTATCTCCTGCTCTGCCCTTTCCCCCAGTCCGCAATCAACAGTTATTTTCAACGCGTACGCCTCGCAATTGTTGACATTAAATGTTGTTTAAGTTTCAAAGGTCGGTGGGGCCACCTGGAAATAAACTAAAAAGAAAGTTCAAATGTTTGCTTAACAAATGATGAAGTTTCAGTTTGGTGGGTGATTTGCCACCTCTTTTTTGGGATCTCTTAATCATTTTCTAAGTTTTTTTTTATTGATACAATACAATAATATAATTATAAAATATACAATATGATAAGGAAATAGAATTTATATATTTTTTCCATTGGTCCCCCTATATTTCAATGTATTATTTTAATATTCATTTATAATCTTCTAATAAATTGTTCTTATTTGTTTATTTCTTCTTCAGGCGACATCCTTTCTGGCGTTTGTTTCGTGGGTCAGCTGGACACGCACTCTCTGGGAGCCTTCCTGATCCTGCCCCTCTGCATATATCTCTCCATAGGAGCACTCTTCTTGTTAGCCGGATTTATATCGCTCTTCCGGATCCGGACGGTGATGAAGACGGACGGCAAGCGGACGGACAAGCTGGAACGCTTGATGCTGCGAATCGGTTTCTTCTCGGGGCTCTTCATACTGCCCGCTGTGGGTTTACTGGGTTGCCTATTCTACGAGTACTACAACTTTGACGAGTGGATGATCCAGTGGCACCGGGACATCTGCAAGCCCTTTTCGATTCCTTGTCCGGCAGCCAGGGCGCCGGGATCTCCGGAGGCCCGACCGATCTTTCAGATCTTTATGGTCAAGTACCTCTGCTCGATGCTGGTGGGGGTGACCTCCAGCGTGTGGCTGTACTCCAGCAAGACGATGGTCAGCTGGCGGAACTTTGTGGAGCGGCTGCAGGGCAAGGAGCCTCGGACCAGGGCGCAGGCGTACGTCTAGTATGAGACGGGTCCGGCGGGCGGGGCCAAGTCCACGCCCCTCACCCCCGATCCGGAGGCGGCCAACGAGAGTTACTTAGAGTTTAGCACATAGACAGTCCCCAAACCCCAAAAAGAATAAAGAAACCCCAAAATGCAGTCGTAGTTCTTAGTGGCTTTGTATAAAGTTCATCATCCCAAGAAAAAAAAAGAAGAGAAAATCAAAAGTTGACCCTAGGCTATTGTTTGAATTTGAATTATATATTAGTTGATACGGAAGCAAGCTTGTTGAACCAAAAGTACGCGTATAAGTTGAGACTCTAGCTCTAAGTCGAGTTGTATTCTGTAGGATTTGATTGCTTTCGTGGTATACGAACCTCTAGCATTTACAATCCTTTATATATTGACGAATGTTTTTAAGTTAGGTTTTGATTTTTTGAAAGCTTTAAATGTGCCCTACAATTAACAAACGTATAGATATTATGATTACGATATGAATGTTAGGCATTTAAGGGATGTGAGCATCGGCTTTTCTGCAGTATACCTTAGCCAGGCTTCAAATTTGATTCTTTAGTCACACAGAACGAAATATTTTCCACATATACACAGTAATTATGCATATAGAGTATACAATCCATACCCAAAACAACTGCAGTTCGGTGCTCACATCTGTGCTTCATCTATGTATAAACAAAAAGGAAACCATAAACTATATAAATGTATTATGTAGCAATAAATGTCCTCCATGTGCTAAACTTAATGCAAATACGATTATTATAATTATAACTATAACTGTAACTGTAATTCTAACTGTAATTGTATATTTGTTGAACTAATTAATTCTAAATGCGTAATGGAATAATTTTTAATTCAATTTTTAAATGACGTTGTAGTCATAGCACTTAAGTGAACAAACAAACAAACAAACAAAACACGCAAATTTTGTTGCCACTTTATGGAAATTTTTCCCTCACCCCCACTAAATAAGAGTTGAAACTGCCATTTAAATATTTGTAGACACACACACAAAAATCACCGAAAGAAATAAGCGGCACACTGCGAAGTTTGGCCAACTGTTGAGCATTTGTTTTCAGCGCATTTAATTGAGTTCTCGATTTAAATTGGCACTAGTAATACGTGAAATTATTGTCCAAGCCAGATTTGTGTAGCATTTAAGCTGATGGAAATGCATATTAATTATAGCAATTATCGATAGTCGGTGTAACATAGCGAGTGCCCAGCGGCAAGCGAACAATTATAAGTGTATAAAACAAACATAATGGAAGCATCCAATGGCAAACACAAACGGAAAATGCAAAAATAAAACTTTATTTTATTGTTAAAGACTGAAAAACGTAAACAGTGTTTTTAATTCGATTGGGCAACATTACGCAGCAGTTGTTGGAAATCAACCAAATTACCTTTGAACATCTTTTTAATTAATAAGGTTATTTGCGGTTGCAGTGTATTGAATGGTAAAGCCAAAAATTGTTTGTATAACCCTTTTTATAACCATGCTTAAGGGAACAATGTTAAATATGGAGAAATACTTTTGAAGCTTTTGTTTATTAAAAAATATAAAACGACGAACATTTGCTTTACACATTTGCAGAAAATCCAATAAGGTTGGTCAAAGGTGGAGTGACGATAGTTTGACCAATGGTATATGCATTATTGTTATATGTACTTTTCATCCTGGAACCTTATGGCAGTTATTGTATAAAATAATATTTTTAAATTTTAAATTTTTTAAGAATAAAATAAGAAACCAAATGAACTAGAACATTAACTTTTTCAAAGCTAGGGAAAGAAACGTCGACTGAAGATGCGGCGCACATCGGAGTATCGGGCCCTGCGCCTGCAGATGGGGCATCGATGGGATCTTCGGATAGCCCTTCTTATACAGTTGCTCCCGAAAAGGTGACCGCATCGCAGGGAAACCACGCGATGACTGCCCTGCGAGGTCCAAGGACAAAGGCATATGGGGCAGTTGCAGTCCTCGGACATCGTGTTAATCCTATTGTTGAGTCTGCTTAATCCCTGATGCAGCTCCACGATTCCTTGCCTCATAGCCAATGCATTTCGCTGCTCCACTGATATCTGATGGAACAACGTCTGACGCAATTGCTGCAGGATGCGCAGACGCTCGGTGTTGAACCACTTCATCTGCCACTTGAGGACCTCCAGTCTGCGTACCCGCTCCTCCAGGTTGTCATTCGAGTCCTGCATCTGATCCGCATTCAGGAAAAGGCTCTCCAGAGTTTGCATCATGCTCAACGCTCCCACCAGTGACTTCATTTCACCCAGGGGCTCCATCCTGCCTGACTAGATTTTGTATTGTGTTGACAGAGAACTTTAAGCACCTTGATCATTCTGTTATTCGTTTGGAGAAATAACATTCGCATGGGGTATTTAAAAAAAAATTTTCCAAGCAAGAGTGGGCCGTAAAATAAATAGGGTTCATACATTTTTTCAACAATTTTCCAGAACACTACATCTCTACAAGTTCATATATTATCGGCTGACTTAGCAACCGCATTATATCTTAATATTATAGTTCATATAGTATATTTATATATGAATTTCTCAACCATATTTAGTATTCGCTCAACGCAATACTATATTTAATAAAACGGTTAAGTCCATTTTCAAAACCAGCTAAAACTTCATCCAAATCAGAACTTTTCTAAGCAGCCGCCACTTAAAAGTTCTGAAAATATTCCATGACAAGTGAGGAGATTTCAACTACCCAAGCATTTTTCAGAATAAAGTTACCCACTACATATCCACCTTTTAGAGCCATCTGAAAATCCAGATTCTTCTCACCTCCCTATTGTGGGTCTAAAACTTTTCCCATTAGAAGCAACTACACATGTAAGCGGACAGACAAACTATGGCCACAAAAGCAGCTCGAAATTCAATCATAACTTGCCAACACCCGCTGGCCAAGTTCCACGGCCATTTCGCTCCTCCCTCCGCCAAACACTTGAAACACATGGCCCTAAGCCTTGAAATTTACGAGTGCCACCGAGAAATCCACGCCCATATAATTTTGATTACACTTGTTTTCTAAATACTCTCCCGAAAAACCCGCAAAAAAGCATGAAAAACATTGGAAAAAGGAAAACAGGCACACAAAAACAAAAGCGTTCGGAAAACATGTGTGCGGGGAAAAGGCCGAAATAAAATCTAGACTAAAGACTGTATTTTTGGGGGGATTCTGTCTCTGCACAGATAAAAATATTATTAACATGAAAAAACAGGCGAATGTTTTTATTCAGATATTAAGATAAATATGATTTATTAAAGTAAGAAAATTTTCTGATAGATATAGATAAGTTAGTACTAAGATTTTATTAAAAAAGTAGCAATATTCCCAATAGATCACTTATTATTAACAAATTGCAGAGTTGTACCTTTGAAGATCAAACCCAACTTATCAAATACAATACTTTATTATAAATAATTTAGTTTTCCAGCTATTTATTTTTTAGATTTCCCAAAGTAGTTTTTCCAATTTTTGTTCCGTGTGATCTTCATTCGGTCGCTAAGCTCCTTGGCAACAAATTGCAGTTAAGCATGTTGGAATAGGGGGAAATCACTCTGGCCTCCCACGCAGAGGGACATGTATTAAAGGATATGAAGGATATGGCGATGTTGTACAAAACACGTGTGCGATTTAACAACTACAACTGCCACATGGAAAACTTTTTAGCAATAAGGCGAAAAAAACAGAACAGAAAACTGCACACGAAAATGGAATCCAATGTTCGGCGGTGAGTTTTGTTGCGTTTTTATGTGACCGCCATAAAAAAGTTATTAATGTGTGGGTTTCGCGAATGTGTGTTGGTGTGTGTGCTTGAGGAGGGAGGGGGAGCGGGAGGGAAAAGCCGAGGGGAGGGAAAAGGAAAAGCTGGCTGCACACGGCCACAAAATGGCGCGGGCGTGTGCAGGCGTTAATGTGGCAAAAAATGTTTCTGAACCAGGACGATTTCGTTTCCTTGCCGACTAAAGATACACTACGATCCAAAAAAAATATATTTGGGTTCCAAAAAATAAATAAAAATATAATCTCAAAATATTTCTTTATATTAATACTGTAATAATATTTTCACTAGCCTACTTGAGGTAATTAAATTATATTTAAATTAAATACAGTCTTTTAAATCAATAACTTAATGCTTTCTGATAATGAATTTTTTTTTTCTCTTAATAAATATTGCCAAAAATTTGAAAATAAAATAGTTATTATTTTAAAGATATCTGTTAAATTTAAATGAATTTATTTGTATACTTTTATTATTTAACCCTGAAGTAGTGTAACCCATCTTCGTCACTGGAAATAACCTCCAGCTTCATCCGACTTTTATTATTTGCAGTGCAGTTTTGTTGCCGCTGAATGCGGGCGTGAAAATCATAAAGCAAAACATATGAGTAGATGTGAAGTTACTAAAAAAGGACCATAAAAAAGCAAAAGAACTCGCGGCAGTGAAAATGGTAGAGGAGAAATAAACGTCACTGTTGGTGGGAAATGTCGAAATGTGATATGTTTGTGCGGCTGCACGTTCCGAAAGAAGTGATTTTAGTTTTTAAATCTAGCGAGAGCATTTTTTGTAGACAGGAGAAAAATTAATCCAGTCAGCCTTTGAATATAATTTAATCACAAATCATTTACCAACAGTTCAGTTTTTACTTTCAACATGAGATCAACAGAAAACGGAAAGAAAAACTGGCTTTTTGCGGCTCTATTGGCCGTTTCCGTGGTTCTGTATTGCACACAATCGGAATACCCAATGCAAGAGGTCTTTGAGGTAACCCTCAATAAGACTAGGGATTACGTCCAAGAGAAGTACGATATATTTATTGAAAATATAAAGAACCAAATACAGGTGAAACTGCAGCAGATTAAAGACAGGAAAGTGCGCGGTAGAGAGAGAATGAATAGAATGAAGGCCGCCAGGGGAATAGTCTGTCCGTAAGAAACCTGAATTCTCCCACAATCAAAGGTGCCTTTTTTCGGGTTGCACCAAATAATGCTCTTAAAGCGACCAAAAAGAAGTTACATTTAATTAATTACCAAATACGTTGCGACACAATCGAGGGCAAAAAAAATTGGCCCGAACGGAAGCCGCTTTGTGAACGCCTGGGGGAGTTTGCAATTTAATTGCCATTTTCAATTAGGCAACTGCACAAATGGACCAACGAAGAATACGCTGCAATGTGCTGTGTAGTTTACTTAATTAATGTTTTGCTGACGAGGGCTTACGGGGAATCCCCGGCGGAGAGCAGAGCGACACTAAAAAGAGCCCCAAAAAGTATGCAATGGAAATGGTTCGACAGGAAATTGCTGCAATCGGATTAAAATAATTAACTAACACAGGCCGAGGATTAAAAAGAAAATCAAACATGAATGCACATTTTTCACTCAGACTCATTCCTCATACTACAAACATTTTAAATTATTTTATGTGTATATAAAATACAAAAATGGTAAAAAAAAAGTTTGAAAACACAAAGTGAGAAATCATGTATTTTGGGTTTAACCTTAATTCGTTTAACATTTTTTTAATCTATAGCTTATCTTAAATAAGCATCAGATACGTTTTGAATTTGTTAAAAAGTCAATCAAAAATTGGTTTCGTTGAATATAAAAATCATACATACCTAAGAGAATAGTTTAAATAAATTAGCACTTTAAACTTTGGCCCATATTAATACCTTAAGAAATTCATTTGGCTAAAGTTTTTTGAACCTCGAACCCAATCTATTTTCAAACTGCGCCTCACAAAAATTTCGACAGCTGCGCTCAACTAGCAATGAAATTTTATTGCCGAGGGGGGCACAACCCCCCAAAAAAACCCCTCTCAAACCCCATCGCCATTTCCGACTAGCTGAAATCACACAAAAGGCTGCAAGTCCACCGCAAACAAAAGAAAGTTA